CTCTGACTTCTGTGTCCCCCGGAATCTGTCCATGTGCAGGCCGTCGGGCTGCGTCTATTGACTTACCCTGTGTCTCTCCTCTTCTTCCGACCTCTTGTCCCTGCCGGTCTCTGATCCAGCCCTGACTTCTGTGTCCCCCGGAATCTGTCCATGTGCAGGCCGCCGGGCTGCGTCTATTGACTTACCCTGTGTCTCTCCTCTCCTTCCGACCTCTTGTCCCTGCCGGTCTCTGATCCAGCCCTGACTTCTGTGTCCCCCGGAATCTGTCCATGTGCAGGCCGCCGGGCTGCGTCTATTGACTTACCCTGTGTCTCTCCTCTCCTTCCGACCTCTTGTCCCTGCCGGTCTCTGATCCAGCCCTGACTTCTGTGTCCCCCGGAATCTGTCCATGTGCAGGCCGCCGGGCTGCGTCTATTGACTTACCCTGTGTCTCTCCTCTTCTCCCGGCCGAAGATCTCCTCTGTGCATGTGCCCGCCCCATGATCCTTCATGGCCACTCGAGAATGTTTCAGATCTTCGGACGGGAGCGAGCGGCAGAGACAGGTAATAACCCGTTTGGTAACTTTTTTATTTTTTAAAAATTTTTGCATATATCTACTGCTTTCTAACAGTAGATACATGCAAAAGAACCTGATGGTTTAACTATGCTTTAACTGTACCTTTTGCCAATAAGTTTCTTGCGTTTTAGTTAGAACCATTGTCTTTTTTTTTAGGGTGATTTTTTTTCTTTTGCTTTCTGAGTCCAGTTGAGAAGATTTCCCTTCACTTCCTGTCCCAATGAGACACAATAGAAATTGAAAGAAAATTTACTTTTAAACAGTTGTTACCAGAACTGGAGTCTCTATTGGAAGATCCTCCCCTCCTGTTTTGGTGAAAATGGTTACCTCGTGTGTTTAATGTTGGCCATAAATGAAACAGTTTCCTAAATAGTATCATATATAGACAATTTCTACAATAAAGTAATGGGAACACATCCTCCTATGCCCAGTCACCTCTTTTTGGGGGTTAAATAACTTAATGTCTATTCAATTGCATTGATGTTAATGCAGGGGAATCCTGAGGCCGGGTGACACCCCGCCGTGCCGTCATCACGCACGCGCGGTCATCTTATTGACGCCTGCCTGCGGCCATCTTGGTGATGGACGCCGGCAGAGAGAGGAGGCGGCGTTCACCGGGTGGCATGAGGTATGCCGCCGGGTCCCCTCCTGTCTCCAGACACTGTCGGGCTCTTGGTCAATGACCGAGTGCTTGACTTTTCCCCTCCAATGGTGGCACCCCGGTGCGGGCCGCACCCACCTTGTGACGCCACTGTGTTAATGTATTGTGGCTGATGGATTGTATGCACTTTAGTTACCTATCTCAAGCTTGTTACCAGTTATAGGATATGGTGGCCAATTTTGAACTGGCATCTCCCGATTCAGCCATTTGGGGTGGTGTATTATCTCTTCTTCTATATTGTAAGTGGGAATAGCCAGTCTGGGACTGAAGCCCTTACACACTTCCTGTCCTTGGGTGACAACTCTGCTCCTACATAGATACAGTACTTTGAATGAGCATTGTCTCCCTAGGACAGGAAGTGTTACTGGCAGAATCACCAGGTCAAAATAAAGGAGGAATAATCCCGGAAAAAAAGAAAACTAATACACCCATTACATCTAAGGACTGGTAAGCTGCAATATATGACATTTTTGTTCTTGGGTTTAAATCTCTTAACATTTGACACGGCCGTTATTCTGATAAACACTAGATGATCATGTGAAAGATTTCTGCACGTGGGGCTTTATTTACAAACCCAGTCCTCCTTGTTGGAAGTCTTCAGTAACAATTAAAGGGGGACAGCATCCAGTAAAAAGATGATGGAAGATTAGCCGTGTCCTGGAAAAAAAGTATATAGCGCGTATGACGCTCTAACCGCAGACTCTTGGCAGCCCGCCGCTATAGAGCCAGCAGTAACGCAGAGCTGCGGAGAACAGATCTTTTCCCGTGTTCAATTACCAGCACAGCTTCTCCACCTGACATCCATAATTGAGACGATGATGTCTATAACATATGTTTACGTTTTATGGATCACTAAACAGATTTGGTAACTTCCTACACTCTTTCCTGCATTATGGCGAGAGATAATAATCAGAAGTAAATGCAACACATTATGGCACCCACTATCAAAACATTTCAAAATATTAATTTATGAAGCAACGGTGAATGATGTAACTCATCAGGGTTTGCGGTCTTTATATTGTAACGTCTGTCTTCAGCCTCCCATCAGGCACACTTATAGATATTGGATTCATTTCATGCCATGCTAGAATTCTCATCTGGGTCTTCTGAGGAACCGGAGGTGACTGTGGCACATGTCATGGTTGGATGGAGAGGACCTTTGGTCACAGAAGAGATTTGTCCACAGTCTGTCCATTATTTTCTTCCATTTTACATACAGCGCTGACATAACCCAACATTTTATGGAATGCTTAGAACTGTTTATATAATTTCCTGTTTCCCAAAGGAGCTCATGTTTCACCATACTCATGCATGCATTGGGGTCCCCATTTCGAATCTAGGTTTGGACAGGACACTACTTTAAATGTTTTTTGTTGTTTAGAAGCGCCAAGGGCAATCCTTATCCCTCGCAAGGGAGGAGTGCTAAGCATATGTGCAGGGCGCAGCCCCAAAACAGTCAAGGGAACTGGAACATCTGAAAAAAAACACAAAAGGGGCGCCTTTCCTAGTGCAGATTTGTTTATTCCAATAAAATCATCAAGAATGTACTGACAAGTACTCACAATATAGAAGTAAAAACAAGCTGCAGAACAGTAAAAAGGGAGCGGTGCAAGGATCCGTGTAGAGCTTCCTGTATCAGAATCACTGTAGTGTCGACGCGTTTCCGGGGCACGCCCCCTTCATCAGGACGTGATCCTTAATTTTCGCCCCTTCTTTGTGTGGGTTTCATTCCACACTTTAAAGACATGCTGGTAGGTTATTTGGCTCCTGCCTAAAATTGGCCCCTAATATGTGTATCCCAACCTGGATACAGCTTGCATGGGTTCCTCCAGATACTCTGGTTTCCTGACATATGGCAGAGACATGCTGGTGGGGTAATAGGCTCCTGTCTAAAATTGGCCCCTATATGTGTATCTCAACGATAGCTATATGTGTATCTCAACCATAGCTTGCATGGGTTCTACCGGGTACTCTGATTTCCTCCCATATGCCAAAGACATGCTGGTAGGTTAATTGGCTCCTGTCTAAAATTGGCCCCTATATGTATATCTCAACCATAGCTTGCATGGGTTCTACCGGGTACTCTGATTTCCTCCCATATGCCAAAGACATGATGGTGGGGTAATAGGCTCCTGTCTAAAATTGGCCCCTATATGTGTATCTCAACCATAGCTTGCATGGGTTCTACAGGGAACTCTGATTTCCTCCCATATGCCAAAGACATGATGGTGGGTTAATTGGCTTTTGTCTAAAATTGGCCCTTATATGTGTATCTCAACCAGTATACAGCTTGATGGGTTCCACCAGGTACTCTGGTTTCCTCCCATATGCCAAAGACATGCTAGTGGGTTCATTGGCCCTAATATGTGTATCTCAACCAGGCCACTGCTTTCATGGGCTCCTCTAGGTACTTTGGTTTACTCTAATACTCCAAAAGACATTCTTATAGGTTAATTGGCTCCTTTCTAGATTGGCCCTAGTATGTGTATGCATGTGACATAGGGACCTTAGATTGTAAGCTCCTTGAGGGCAGGGACTGATGTGAATGTGCAGTATGTAAAGTGCTGCAAAAATTGACATAACTGTATAAATATCTAGTAATTATAAAGCAGAACTATACTCAACTCCACTCCAGCAATGCAAAGTCCACAAGTATATTATCTCTTCTGCAATAAAATAACTTTTCTGCTCTCAAGTTTTATATTTTTACTTAAACTTCTGCTTTAAGTGTATCTAAAGGCAGAATATTGTGGGATTTTTTTGTTTTGGATACAGCAGTGAGGGGTTAGAAGCCCTGTAAGGTTCTTGGGTGTTGGCTGCTGTCACTTATGGGCTAAAACATTTTGTCCCGACTCCTCCAACAAAAGCCTAATCTGCTTTTTGCAAGGGTCTTGGCCAAAAATTTGCCAGAAGGGCCGCTGTTAGGATCTCAGTTGATTCTTGTGAATCACTTGAAATGCTAAGTATTTTGGTCACCCTTAAGCTTCGCAAATTAGTTTATGATTGTTTACCAGAACGTTCAATCTCGCCATCATTGAGTCAACTAATTTTTAGCTCGAAAGCCATTAAAGTTTTCATCCAGACCTTCAACTTGAATAGATTCCCAGATGTAATAAATAGATTTCTTTTGTGCGTAGCTCACTATAAGATGTGCGATTTTCCATCCTGCTCCTTCCAATTTCCTCATCACTATAGTTGAATCTATAGATAATGATAGACCCCCTTACCATTAGAAAATCAAACATACGTTCCAAAATTCCCATCACATGACAGCATTTAGTGCCTGAGCACCCAATTGTTGATCTGCATAGTTATTGGGGCCCCAGCAGGGGGTGTAAGTTGCTTATGGCACCTGCTATAAGGTGAACCTTTTACTTTGCATAGAATAGGAATTTGAGTAAAGGGATCAAAACCAAAGAACCCTTTAGTCAATCGAATTGTAATAAACTGAGCCCGGAGCAAGCGGGCCAGGGGTGCACTGCCAAAACCACACAAGAGGGATGGGTTTCTAGATGCCACAGAAATGTATTCGCAATAACAAAAGAAGTAAAAAAAACAAAATCAGTGTACTGTAACAATTGATGCTGGAAGGTGTAAGGAAGGTTTCAGATGTCCTCAGTCTTATTTCTTGAAGGTAAACTTCTCGATTTCTCATAGTTATTTAAAAATATGAATTGCTTTTGTGTACCAGCAAATTATTTGTTGCATTGTTCTGCAAAGTTTAATATTTGGACTTTCTAATGGTTGCCTGACAGTAACTTCTCTCGTTGAATCCTTTGCAGATTGAGACCTCTCAACTTGAGCCAGAGATCGCGAAGAACACCACCTGCCACACGGTGGTCTACAACAAAGGATTGTAAGCCAAAATCCATCACCTCAGCACGGAGCAGCGAGGAAGAGCCCCCTAGTCACTCAGCGTGGAGCGGGGAAGAGACAAGTGCACCCTGTACTTTCTCCCCTGACAGCTGGGAGATTTGTACACCTTCACTTCGCTGTCACCTCACCAGACTAGTAGACACGCCACATTCAAGGTTTAGCATCACTGAGGGGGGACAAGAAGCAGCACAAATGTGGCGTCAACATTTTTAGGCATCAGATGAAGAATACATACCCACCATTACTGCATGAAGAGTGAATCTACCCACATGCCAAAGCCCCAGACCCAGTTCAATGTCCGGAAGACACTGACTGATGTCACAGTTCTGATCTCGTTCGGCATAGCCTGAAGTCACCTGATCCGCACATGCACCCATTAGACACAGGTGGAGGTCATGTGACACACAGAATGACTAGGTCCTAGTTTTTTTGCAAAGTTCGATGTCACATGGCCCAGTCCTGTTTCTACTGGACACGGCCGGGGCTTAATGGAGTCCTTATGCCGTGAACCAGATGCTATCACATGACCGAGTCTGTTTATTTTAACAGATTTCACAGCACTAACAAATGACATCAAAGCCTACTGTTGCACAACACAGATTCGTACGCCTGGCCTCTTGTCACACTTCTAGATCTCAGGTTCACAGTTTTTAGTTGTTCTGCTGAGAAGAGTCCATTTTGGTGGAACCTAGACTCGGAAGGGATTTCACGGTCATGTTGGGATCACTTAAACGTACTGTAGCTGTAAACAGGATGTTATGGAGGAAATATGGTGTAGAATCTTTAAAACCACTGAACATATACTGTGTATGTGCTATTTAGTCATTTCCACATTGATCACCGAGCGATACCGTTTATTTTGTGAAGTATATCAAGATGTCTGATTCTCATAGTAGGACTTTCTGGACACCATGTGCACATCTGGGTCTGTTGTGTGTATACCCTACCCACAGGGGGACCCCTTAGATCAGGTCATTTCCATTGCTGGTCATCTTCATTCTTCCAGACCCAGCCAATCCTAGGAATGTTTTGGACCTTAAAAGCTAAATTTTATATCCGTATCCACAATGCAGAACATTTTATTTGAGGGTTTTGTTCAGCAGTGTCTTATTTTATTTTTCGGGGCTTTGTCTTCTCATATATTTTTCACAATACTACTTACACTACTAAAACTCTCCTGTCATATATTACGGGGGCTGTGTCCTGTCATACATTATATGGCCAAACATTTGTGAACCCCTGACCATCACACATATGAGCATATTGGACATCCCATTGCGGAACCATGGGCATGAATATGAACCTGCCCCCTTCCCTACATTGCGGCTAAATCAGCGCCCAGTCTTCAGAAAGGCTTTCCATTGAGTTTCAGCATATCTGAGAATTTGTGCCCATTTATCCAAAAAAGCACTTGCAAGGTCAGGTACTGATGGTAAATGAGAAGACCTAGCTTGAGGTAGGCATTCCAATTTATCCAAAGATGTTCAGTAGAGTTGAGGTCAGGGCTCTGTGCAGGCCTCTCAAGTTCCTTCACACCAAACTCATCAAACCGTGTGTTTATGGAGCTGGCTTTGTACAACCAATCTCAATATTTTGAAGGCGTGCCCATATACTTTTTGCCATATAGTGTATCTTTTTGTCTTCTCATCTCTAAATCATATCCCAGCATATCCAATAAGGCTAATTCATTCCATATTTCGCTATGCTGTGTTTTGTTCTCTCTGGTTCTTTTTAATTTCATCCCAATTTTTTTTTTTTTTAATCTCCCAATTTTCTTTTGCTTTTTTACTGGGTGGTACTGTATCTCACCTTGTGTCACTCAGCCATTTCCTATTCTCCTGGGTTCCATCTCATGTATTTTACTGGGCTGCATCCTATCTGTCTATCTTCTTGTCCTTCACTGGGTTATATCCCACCCTGTATGTTGGTGTCATATATCCTCATACTCCACTGGGTTACAGCCCACCATGTATGTTGGTGCCATATCTCCTCATACTCCACTGGGTTATATCCCACCCTGTATGTTGGTGCCATATCTCCTCATACTCCACTGGATTATATCCCACCCTATATGTTGGTGCCATATCTCCTCATACTCCACTGGGTTATATCCCACCCTGTATGTTGGTGCCATATCTCCTCATACTCCACTGGGTTATATCCCACACTGTATGTTGGTGCCATATCTCCTCATACTCCTCTGGCTTATATCCCACCCTGTATGTTGGTGCCATATCTCCTCATACTCCACTGGATTATATCCCACCCTGTATGTTGGTGCCATATCTCCTCATACTCCACTGGGTTATATCCCACCCTGTATGTTGGTGCCATATCTCCTCATACTCCACTGGGTTATATCCCACCCTGTATGTTGGTGCCATATCTACTCATACCCCACAGGGTTATATTCCACCCCATCTGATTGTGTCATATCTCCTACTCTACAGGGTTATATCCCATCCTTTCTGTCTGTATTTCATCCCATCTGTCTGTGCCTCGTCTCATAATGTGTCAGTAGACTATATTTCATCAGATTCTGTCATATTTTATCATAATTCTTTGAGACATATCTAATGTTAACTGTGCCATATTTCCCTCTTTATATTTTTTATGTAATTTCCATATCTGACCAAGCTCTGTTCTTGAAACCAGTTCATTAGTGTGTTTTATCTCACTGGGACTTGTCTTCTTGTCATTGGTGCACCTCATTGAGCTCCGTTTTGTTATATCCCTTTTGGGAGATGTTGGGTCTCTTCTTATTGTCCGTGTAGCATTATACATCACTCTGTTGGGTTTGTGGAGACGACGGCATAAGAATTCTGTTGTGACCAAACCCTTCACCATAGGAAGCTAATCGCTACATTCCGGCGATCAAATATTAATGCTAGTTAGCAGCCACGTAGCTACAAGCACTCATCTTTTAGCAATAATTTCAGCTGTGGGGGTGGAGGGTTCTTATGAAGTATGTTGGAAGGCTGAGCTTTCATGGTAAGCCAGCAAGCATGATTGTATCGTGTTGTGTTTTAACCAATCAGAAATGATGTAAACTAATGAGAGAAATCTATGGGAAAGATTTTTTTAACAATGTCTCATACATAGTAATGATATTACAATGATTATATGATAAACTTAATTACTGTGAAGTCGACACTAAATGTGTAACAACAATGACTATCTTCATTTGCCCAGCTCCTGAGGGGAGTCATGTCAAGGTTTCATGATTCAGACCCTAATACACAGCTCTTTTTTCACAGCTTGACTATTAGGGACCTTTTAATCTGTAAAAGATATATTAAAGAATTAAAAAAAACTGGCCGCTTCAAGAGCACTGGGTGCCAAGCCACCATATGTCATCTCTAAAAAGAGTGGCTCATACTTCTCCTTTTTGTCTTGGCACATTCGTTGCAGACTGCCCAGAGGTACTCATGGGTTCTATAACAGTGTCTGTGACGGTCTAGATGTAATTAACTGGTCAGAATTGACCTCTCTTATGATACCCATGAATACATGTGGGCAGATTGCACAACACTTGTGGAGTTGCATAAGCAATGGAGAAATGTGTGGTCAACTTTAGCTAGGCCTAGCTTCTGAGTTTCCCCATATTCCAGCAGTGCCCACTCGCGCCTTCACTCTGGCAGCACCAGACTACTCCGCAGGCAGCCAAAGTGGTTAGATTACAACTTTTCCAGTCCATATTGTTACCAGGATGTTTCACACTGTTGGGCGGCTCCCTCTTTTTTCTGAGCTGTAGGTTTATTAAACTGTCATACAGTTTAACATTTATCTTACCTGATAGGCTATAAAATACCTGCCTGGCTTTCTCTTATAGTCCACAGAAACGTACAGGATTGCTCATTTAATTAGCTCTGAAGCTACACATGAACATGAGATGACCGTAGCTAGACTAGACGGGGCAATGATATGCAGGAGGACCTCACCCCACCAGTTGGTTGATAAGGGTAGAGTTGAATAAAGCTAGGTTAGAAAATCCTTTCAGTTGCTGAGGTAAGCGATACTGGCAGCTTCTCATCTCCTCCACTCACCCCTCTCCATTGATTTCAACAGGAATGTTCAGTGGAACCAAATATATTTCTGGTCATTGATATATGATGCCTGAGGGCAGTCAGATTGTGCATCCTCCCTCAGAAGTCCAAACTGAGAATCCATGTTCCAGGTTCACCCAAGCTCTGCTAATTGCATTTCCCAGACAAATCCAGCTTGTCCACCAAGGTTTTGTACAAGCTGATGGGGCGAGGTCTTCCTACAGACATGATATAGTTGCCCCGTATAGCTATGACCCAAATCTGCATTCTTGTATTAGCCATTAGCAGTATTGTAGATTGTATTACTCTCTGTGATATCATCACCAGGCTCATATAATTCTTGTAGGGGAAGTTGCTGGGAGGTCACTTCCTATTGATATAGGCACTCCTTCAGAATTATATCTTCCAAGAGCCCTCTTCCTACACACTATGGCCCGGTTCACACCTGGGTGTTTTGTAGCGCGTTCCTACGCTCTGCAAAACGCTCAAACGCCAAAATCCCATTATTTCCTATGGGTATGGTTCACACCTGGGCGTAGTATGAACGCGCTACAAAACGCCTTACGCCCAAAGAAGTACAGGGGCTTCTTTGGGGCGTTTTTGTTGCGCGTTTCCATTGGGATACAGCCAAGTAGCCCTTGGAAACGTCTGTCGCGCGTTTTTTTTTACTGCGAATCGCGCGACAAACGCCTTAGGCTGGGTTCACACCTAGGCCTATAGAATATGCGCGTTTGTCGTGCGTTTCGAGTCGCGTGTTTGTCGCGTGTTTCGCGGTTAAAAAAACCCGCGCGGCAAACGCGCGTTTCCGAGGGCTACTTGGCTGTATCTCAATGGAAACGGGCGACAAAAACGCCCCAAAGAAGCTGCTGTACTTCTTTGGGCGTAGGGCGTTTTGTAGCGCGTTCATACGGCCTGTAATGCGCCCAGGTGTGAACCATACCCATAGGAAATAATGGGATTTCGGTGTTTGAGCATTTTGCAGAGCGTAGGAACGCGCTACAAAACGCCCAGGTGTGAACCGGGCCTTAGTGTAGACAGGCTCTTGAAAGTGAAGACAGCAACATTGTTTTCTTAGGAAAAAAATAATGTGTGCATGTAGAGAGAGACAGAGAGAGGTGGGGATAGGCAGAGTTCTGTAATCCAGCAGGCAGGGCTAACAAGGCTACTTGAGGTTTGAGAGCAGCAGAGGACCTGTCATGTCAGCCTAAACAGGAAGTTAGGAGTGCACTACATTCATGGCAGTTATTTGTCTGTATTTGCAGTGTTTCTAA